AAGGAAAAATGCAGACGAATGACTTTTTATACAAAGGTGCTCTCGCGGTTTTGTCTTGGTAGAAATAGGTTTCAATGTGACTATGGGAAAGGAGGGAAGTTGAAATAGTAAACTAGGTGAAATCTCTATACAAAGTTATGATTTTTACTGTCATAAGACATAAGTTAGAGAGTTGTTACCTTGTGAAAAGTGGTTCTTCAGTATGAAAGTTGAGTGCTCCAAGTTTTAGCTAGTTGTGCATTTCTTTACCAGTCAGTTTATATATTTTAGTATTGTTTATTATTCATGCATTATGGTTTCTTAACACTAATCTGAGAATACCTTTTGGAAGTACATTGCATATTAAAAGTACTTATTTCGGTCATATTTTTTTATAAATTTTTATGGTTAACAAAACAACAAAGCGATTAAAATTTTAGTTTCTTATAGTTCACAGTTACATTCTTCTTATGCTACATTTTAGGGGAAATATATTGACTAAAGTTTAATGGGACAAGAGGCTTTACCATAGAAGGATAGTATGGTATGATATGGTCAATTGGTGAAAGATGTTAAAATCTTTTCCTAATATTCTGACAATATAGTCAACACTTATGGATTGAACCTCTACACTCAATTATTTCTTCACTATGGGTCCACATTGGAGAATTGAACTTTTAATACTTAAATGAAATGACTCCTAAACAATATCAGAGGAGCAGTTGGAGCGGTCTTCTAATATTTCCTATATGGGTGTTGGATTTAAAAAAGGAGGTTATGTGATGTTTCTTTTGCTACTACATCAAATTCATGAATGCTTGTTTCTTTTTGCCTCAAACATCTTTAGGAGATGATTGTATAACCTTTGTACCTGAAGGTGGCCTTGCTAAGGGAATGTCTATGCCAGGATCAACCACAATTTCCAATATGTCAATATCTGATCTGCTTCCTATGCCTAAAGACCCTCATATATGCCAACAGGTCTTAATGGTCAGACTGGTTCATCAGAGCACACACAATATAACTCTATAGAAGATCTTGGGTCAAGACGTGGTACTAACACAATATAACAGATTATAAAACATGTACTAAACCACATCATTTCCACTAACAACCGAGACATACAACAAACAATTGTACTAAAATCGAAGGTCATCATGAGAAGACAATACCCATTTTCAATCATATCCAATAAACACAAACCCAAGTCTAACGAATTAATACGAATTAATACTTACCAGGTGAAAAAGGCAATTGGAGCTCCACCTTATCTCTTCCAACGCCAACAAAGCAACCTAGGGTTTCACAAATCGGGATTTCCAACCTCCAAAGAAACAAGAATAATAATCAGTCAATGTAACATTATATATACTACGAAAATGAAGGAAATTTGGATTACTTACCAGATGAAGGTTTCAACTAACCACGGAGGTCGTCCTACAGTGTTTGCTGAACGACATTGTTTCGGCAACGACGCACAACCACATTTAGGGAAAACACTTCCAAGCCCTTCAGTGCGTTCGATGGAAGAGCCTTTCACTGTGTTTGATAGAGGAGACTTCAAGTTAGGGTTCGAGAGGGGTTCGAGTAGGAGCAGTAGCACAGAGAAGAAGGCTCCATGAGGGAGAACAAGGCTCGACGAGGGAGAAGGTTGCAGTGAGTAAGGACGAGAAGGAGGCATAGGTAGGAGTGGAGAAGGACAAATAGCTAGGGCTCCAGAAAGCGGAGAAACTTTGGCTCGAGGGATGGAGGGAGAACAGTGATACAAGAGTCTTAATCAGGTGTTCTATATTACTTAGTTTTATGTTTTAATTACCAATTATCTCCATATCCGTATGAAAAATCAGCGGCTAAATATGTTTTCAACTTACATACGGACCTATCCTTGGCAAAGCTCCTGCCAACACGCGCCAATTTTACCCATCGATATTATATACGGATAATCCGTATATAACATTTTTACCCCATTATATACGGATTTTTCCGTATGTAAGGCTATTCGACAGATCCGTATATAACATCCGTATATAACATTCCTATTATATACGGAAAAAAATCCGTATATAATAATCCGTATATAATTGGCATTTTTCTTGTAGACGTGGCACGCAAAGACGTTAATAGGTGGACTTAAATGATTTTTTAATTTAAAAAAATAGTTTAAAATAAGGTATGCTACGAGAACACGAGAAACCCTAGGTCTCCACGGTGCTATGCGACGACACTTGAACTTGGCTTCTGGTTTGCTTGTAGGTCTGATTGTGGTTGCAGGTGGAGGCAAGCAGCGACACGGTTAGTGGTGGAGAAGAGTGGCGATTCGCGATTTGCAGCAGCGGCGTATGGTGGACGATTCTGTGGTGGAGATTTGACGGTAGTGCTGCTGGCGCGACGACGATTTGGCTGGTGCGAGGGTGAAAATGTTGAAGATTGGTGGTCGCGACATAACAAGGGATCGCATTGGGTGATGGCGCGAGAACGAAGGTCGAATCGCGATGGCTTGCGGTTTCCATGGTGGTGGTGCTGCGGTGTAGAGCTGGCCTCAACGGAGGGCTTCACGATTTGGATTTTGGGTTCTTCTCTTTTGGGAATGATTGGCAGGTCCGGTGAGATGCGAAGGTGATGGAGGTGCAACAGAAGGGAGAAGACGCTTTGGTGGTGGCGCGTGATGCGTTGGAGAGGACGGCTGCCGACGAGGATGACTGTGACAACGCTGGATGGTGTGACGGCTAGGGTTTCTTGGAGAGAAATTAGTGTTTGTTTTGAGATGGTGATGATGACGTGTTAGGATGGTGATGTGGCAGAGACTTTTTTAAGCTTTTTTTAAATTAAAAAATCATTTTTGTCCACCTATTAACATCTTTGCATGCCACGTGCTTATGAGATGCCACCTCACCTAGCTATCAGGCAACACTTTTAACGCCGTCCACAGAATTTAACGGTAGGAATTTTATTGATTCAATTTTTCATAAATAGGAACTCAATTGAGAACTTTCAAAATATGAGGACCCAATTGATATGAATATGCAAAATAGGAACATTCAAAGTGATTAAATCTTTTATTTCAACGCTTATAGAGTCGTGTGTGGACGTACGTTTGGTGGTTGGTACTGAGTGTTGGGTACAAACAAAGTCCCACATCGCATAAAATATGACATACACATGAGTTTATATACACATAAGATACACTCCTTAATAAGAGGCATTTTGGAGTGGTACCAAAAGTAAATCCGTGAACTTAGTTCAAAACGGATAATATTTTACTGATGAAGAGATATATGAATATGTGTATATTAAATCTACACAAATGAGAACCCAATTGATATGAATATGAAAAAATAAAAACATTCAAAGTGATTAATTTTTTGGTTTAATGTCTCGGTAGGTCCCTATTTTCGGCGTGAATCTCAAATAGGTCCCTTTTCTTTTCGGCGTCTCAATTGGGTCCCCATTTTTGTAAAATTGTAACAATTAGGGGTCTGCCGTCAAATTGGACAAACGGCCGTTTAATTGTTTCTTACGTGTCAGATGGGAATCATGCCACGTGTGATTACTGAAAACACTGTTCATGCCACGTAACAAACAATTAAACGGCCGTTTGTTCAATTTGACGGCAGACCCCTAATTGTTACAATTTTACAAAAATGGGGACCCAATTGAGACGCCGAAAAGAAAATGGACCTATTTGAGATTTACGCCGAAAATAGGGACCTACCGAGACATTAAACCTAATTTTTTTTTTCAACGCTTACAGAGTCGTGTGTGGACCTACGTTTGATGGTTGGTACTGAGTTATGGAAAGACAATTTAATATTTTGGACTCTTTCTTCAAGTTGTAACTTTTATCTGCAGCGCTACTCTCAAATTTTCCTTTCTGGACAATTTGGTTCCAAGCTTTCATAATGTCAGAAAGCATTTCTAGTTCTTTATTCAGTCCGTAACTAATGAAAGGGATTATTGATTCAACTGTCTCAAAGCTAGAATAAGATTGTAGTTTATAAACCCTTTGGTTTCCGTGAGTGATACATTTTGAAATATTGGCGGTGACATATCACTTCAATTCTTTCTTGATACTTGAAGTTAAAGCTTGGTATATCATGTATTATTAATCATTACATTCTTTTGTCAAATCACTATATTAATTGATATCTTTTTTTTACGCTGCTATATGCTGTTGGACTGTTTCGTAAATTTAATTGAGTGTTTTAGGAGTAAATGAAATTATGTAAATGGATATGATATCATAAGTACTCTATTATTTTTTCTGATAAAAAAATTGAACAAATCCGTTCCAATTCTGAAAGTCATTAATTGCATTTGAAATCAATTTTAATTATAAGAAGAAAATTAAAGAGACTATATAAAATGTCCCTTCTATTCCATGTACATAAAAAAACGAAAGCTAGAATTGTGTCTTTTAAATATATTATAATTGCTGATAATAATTTTAAATTTTTTAATAAAACAATAATATTTGATAACATTTTTTTTATAATATTTTAATATCATTGTGTCATTCTATTATTATATTAAAATTATTTCATAATCAATAATAATAATTATAAAGACTCACATAAATTAATTACATAATAATAAATAGATAATAATATTAAAATGTTAGAAAATTATTATTATCCTTCGTCTGTAATATATAAGTTGGACAACCGGGTCATTATATTTAGTGCTGAGGGAAAAAAAATTGAAAGCTAAAATTCAATTATCGGGAAAACTTTTGGTTGACTCGGTAATTGGAAATAAAACTGACAAAATTTGCGTGTAGAGGCAAATTAAGATCATTAGAAATGATAGTGAGTTATTCTTGGAACCATGCAATAATAATAGATATTTGATCAATCCTAGCATCCTAGCATAGCTATTACTATAATTCTCTTGGCTTTCTTCTTTTCTTTAAATATCTTTACGATTAATGAATTTTTACAAAGAAACAAGTTCATTTTACTGCCTATGTTTGCTTACGTTTTCCATATAAATACCTGAGCCTCTTGTGAGAAAACAAAAGAGATACTTTCTAGCATTTTAGAACAAAAAAGTTTAGATACTTGATACTTGTTTTCATTCAACTACAATGGCTGCTGTTGGAACCGAGGAACGTATTACCTTGAAGCTTATGGTGCTCAAAGAAGAAAATAAATTTATCTTTGCGGAGGCAGGTAAGGACTTTGTGGATGTTCTGTTTAGTTTCTTAACATTGCCATTAGGAACCATTGCAAGAGTTGTGCGCAAGGAGTCTAAGTTGCAGCCATCTGAAGTTGCATCTCTCAGCTCGCTCTATCAAAGTGTAGAGAATCTTGACAAAGAGTGTTTTCCCACAGATACCTGTAAAGAAATGCTACTGTGTCCCAGAAATTCAATGGAAGCTTATTGTAGGAGTTCGAAGATAAACATTGACGACACAGAGCCCACTGAGTATTTCGTATGTAGCAACTTGATCTGTTGTAGAAACAAACCCCCTGTCTTGATAAGCACCTTCAGAAATAAAAGGTGCAGATGTGGAAGTATGCTAGCAAAACCTATTTCTCTGGAAACATTTGACTCCTTTGATGGTTTTGTTCAGACTAATTCCAGTTTCATGATCACGGACGATCTGAAGGTTTTCCCGAATTCATTGGATAAAATTATTAATGTGCTAAAGGACAGTGGAATAGAAAACGTGTCTTTAATAAGCGAAAGGACGGTGAATATAACTAAGAATCAGGTTTGTGTTCAGACAGATAGTTGAATTTGAATTTCATATTAGTTTATTATGGTATTGGGTATTGCTTATTAAGTGACTCACTCAAGACTGTGATGATTATGTATCGTATTTATTGTTGTTTTAGGTTGTGGATCTGCTGAAATATTGTTTCTGCTCAAGATCAGTTTTGACAGATTTGTTCTTAGAAAAAGGAGGGAGAGATTACAGGGAGACATTGCTTAAAAGAAGAAGAATCACTCCCTGTGATCTTAAAGCGAATAATTGTGATGGAATCACAGTGAAAATAGTGTTAAGAAAATCTACCGGGAAGATATTGTTTGCTGAAGGAAAAGCAGATTTTGCAGACTTTCTTTTTACTTTTCTGACTATTCCTTTGGGAGCGTTATGTTTGATGGGAGGGTGTCCTTACGTTGACAGTGTTGATGGTTTGTATAAGAGTGTTGTTGATCTTGATGAAGATTATTTTACCACAAAGGAAGTAAAGAATAAGTTTGTTGATCCTGTTCTTGCCCCACAATTCAAGTTGCACAATTTGCTATCTTTAAAGAATGGTGATGTTCCTAATTACTTTTGTTACTCTCGGTCTGACGGATACATTACAATGATTACAGCTTGCTCTTTAACTCCCATACATAAGGTAGTCAAGAGTTTCACTGAAAGCTGTGTGGCTTCGGAGTTTCTCCATCCCCTGTCTGATACACGTAACAACGGTAAAGGCTATGTTAAAGGACCGACAACTTATATGGTAACTGATGATTTGGTCGTGACGCCATCGTCCTCTCTTTCTGTTGTGTCTTTGCTGAGGACTATGAACATTCCCCGTCATGACTTACAAGAGAAAGTAGTTAGCATTGGCAAAGAGGAGGTAAGTTTAGTAGAGAATAAAAGGATTATGCTTTTTAATTATGTGGATTGTAATGTTTCAATTTTAGGTTAAAAAACATTTTTCTTCTATATAGTCTGGTCCTAACCAATTCTTAGCTTAGTTTCTACCTAAATTTTTCATCTGATGGTTGAAATGTTAGTGTCATCTCTGAATGTATTTCTCACTTTTTTTTTTAATTTTTATTTTTACATATAATATATCTTAGTTTGTTTTACATATTTTAACATATCTGTCATATAAATTTTAATTTGTTTTACCTAATATGCTTTTTATCTGGTGCATGAACTGTTACTGACGTATCTTTTCACTTTTTTTAATTATATTTTTTACATATTTTTTCTATATATTTATATAAAATGATTAATTAAAAATACTCAAATTTGTAAATAAATATTTGAAGTTTATGGTGTTGTTACAGGGCGTGCGCATACTACAGGCCTCATTGAGTTCTAGATCAGTCCTAACATTAGGTCTCAGCCACTTAATTAACCAAGTGAAGAAGGAGGACAACTGAGCTATATAAAGTAGCCCTTTTGTTTCATGCTTTTATATTATTTTATTTTCCGCAATTATATTTCTGCATTTAAAAATGTTCTATTGTCGTACTATTTATTTTGAAGTTTGGCAGTAATTTCGGTGCTTTATTATTTGATATTTCTATTTTAGTTGGATGATCTTGATCATGTACTGGAGAATGTCTTAGCAACGTGAAAATAGTTGATTTAGATAGAATGTTGTCGAGATTTTTGGTATGTATTTAATGTTTCGAAAATTAACTATTATTTTATTAATTTTTGTAAATATTTAAAAATTTATTTAGTGATCTAAAGACAAATTTCATATTTTAGTTAGTTGTGTTGATTAGTAATTTCGAATTTGTGAACATTTGAATTTGACTTGGTATAAGGTAACTTTTAAAACCCTTCTCATCAAGGAAAATGACATTTGAACAACCATTTTTGACAACATTTAGACACGTGCACACGTGTCAAAATCTGAATGGTCCATTTTCATTTAATTTTTTCAACTGGACCACTCAGATTTTGACACGTGTGCGCGTGTCTAAATGTTGTCAAAAATGGTTGTTCAAGTATCATTTTCCTTTCATCAATTTGTAAAGTATTGTTGGTCAAACGTTCAAATGGATTCTTTGGAGTGTATTATTATAGTTTGAGCTGATCGGGATCTGTAGGATTTGAGAGGCTTTTTAGAAAGTATCGTAACAGTTGTTTTTTATTAGTACTAAGGGCACTTGTGATTGTAAATGTTTTTTATTAGTACTAAGAGCAATTGTCTTTCCTTAATCGTAATATCTTCAATATTTTGCTCATTTGCTGATGAAATTTTTTCCTTTCTTTTTCTAAATTTTATCTTTCATATATTTCACTTTGTTTGTAAAATTTAGTTTCATTAGCTATACTTAAATTTGAATGAAATGAAAATGCAAATATATTAATAATAATTTCGAGAAATTTCATTTTCAAACGTATGAATGCTTTGTGATTGTATTCAGTCTTGGTATTAGTTGTGTAAATAAGAAAGAATAAGTAGTCTTCCAAAATTTAATTAAATGAACTCTTAACCAGAGAGAGAAACATAGTATATCATTATCAAGTCGGCCTTGGAATTTTTTTTAAAGTAGATTCTTTTACATATATATTATCATTAGATATTATTTATCATCATCTATATGATCTTTATTTCCTCAACTAGATTTTTTTCACAATTTGTTTTTATGTGAAGCAATATAATTTTATTCTAGAACTTATAAAAGTGAATATTTAAAATAATAGAAATATAGAAATTTTGTTTAGGAAAATTTTTAATTAGAAAACAGTAAAAAGTAGAAATTTAGAAATATAACAAAATCTTAAATTTTTTAATTAAAATTTATAAAATAAAACTTGTATTAAAATTTATAAAATAAAAAGTGTATTAAAATTTATCAAAAAAGTGTTATTTAGAAAATTAATATAAAAATAGAAGTTGGAGATTTTTCTTAGAAGACCATATTCTGATGTAGTAACAAAGTCATATTATCCTTGTAAATCTTCTATATGTTGAAAAAAAAACTCCCAACTGTTTTATGTAAAAAACATTTAAAAACAGCAAAAGAATTAGAAAAAGAAAAACATCTTGACATTTAATTAATTAATAAAAAAACACTAACTCTTTACAGGTATTTTTTACATTTTGTAAGATTCCATTTTAGTAGAATAATATTATCAAAATTAAACATTACATAGATGATAACTTACCACAAACTACAGACTATAATTGAAGAAGATTTTATACTTGGAGAACAAAACTCTATCTATGTGTTACCACTGTGAAAGCATGATTGTTTTGAAGTAATTTTGATGATGATACAAGTGAAGACTTGAAGAACCTATATTGTAAATGATTAAAAGCATTTTGTAGAAACAATTGTATAAGATTAATTGTTCATTTGTAAAAGTACTTAGAAAATTTCCTATGTAGTGTTTCATTGCGTAGATAATCGATTGTCTCAAGTGATAATCGATTATCACGAGCCAATTTAGAAAGAGTTGCTCGCGCAAATAATCGATTATTGCTCAGAATAATCAATTATCTCTGTCTGATTCAGTATTGCCCAAGTCGCTCAAATAATCGATTATCACTTATGATAATCGATTATCACTGGTAGTTGGGATATGTCTTTTCAATTTCTGACCTTACACAGACTTTGGCTTATAAATAGAGAGGTCTTCACATCTCTTAGAAAGGAACTTTTCATTCGAGAGTATTATAGTTGTGTGTCTAAGGGAAACTCTTTGTGTGTGAAAAGGGAACTAAGTCATTAGAGAATACAGAAAAAATCTGAGGAAGTTCTCAAGTGTTAGTGTTGCTCGAATAAAGTCTTGTGAAAAAGAGAAGCTTGCGTTTAGTGGGTCTAAGGTCGAAGCAGTTCTCTTCAAATTGATTGAGCAAGTTCTTCCGTTCGTTTGTCAAAAGAAGGTGTTATATGTTCTTAATCTTTATTTCATCTTATTGTAATCTGTAAAAGATATTTTAGTGAAAAAGTTAATCACTATTTACACTGATTAACAACTAGACGTATAATCTTTTGATTTGAACTAGGATAAAATATTTTATGTGATTTTCTCTTACTCTACACTTTTAATTTACCAACTGTTTGATAAAAGTCTCAAAAGAAAATCACGATTTTTAAAAGAACCAATTCACCCCTCCTCCCTTGGCTTTTGACCGATACACGTTCTTTCTCTTTAAACATTTCGTGCAATACCAGTTGTTCCAACAATTGGTATCAGAGCTTGCTTTGATAGTTTTTCAAATTTTTCGAAAATGGGCAGTCATAACCAAATGTATGCAGAGGGTGCTTCAATTGATAGACCTTATTTGTTTATGGGGAAAATTATGCTATTTGGAAAATAAGAAAGCAAATATTTTGGAATATATTGACAAGGGTATTTGGGAAACTGTTTTAAATGGACCAATTGTTCCCATTATTACTATAAATGATATGCAAGTAGAAAAACCATTTTTATAGTGGACTATCGATGAAAACAAAATGACACCATATGATGTTAGGGTAAGGAATATAATTTTATCTCTAAACCTTGATGAATGCTTCAAAGTTTCTATTTATGAAAGTGTTCAGGAAATGTGAGAATTTTTAAGAGTCACTCATGATAAAATCATAGATGTGGTTAAGTTGACGTTGTCTGATTCAAGCTCTACATCAAACTCCTGAAGCTCAAATGATTCAAATGAGCAAGAAAATCTATGCTTAATGACCAACACTAAATCATCTAGAAGCTAACACTTGAAGAAAAAAAAGGACAATCAAGGCTCGTCATCAAGCTTCAAATGTTATAGATGTGGTGGAAGAGGCCATGTGAAAGTTGATTGTCTAAACAACAAGAAAAGTGAAGAAAGAAAGGAAAAGAAAATTCACAAAGAGAAGAAGACCTACATTGCTTGGAATGATAATGACTCAAGTAGCTCAAGTGATTATGTTGAAGAAGCAAACTTATGTTTGACAGCTAATATTGATGACACTGCAAGCCAAGTAAGTTGCTCTAGCCTTGACACTAGTGAATTTGATTTACAAAAGGCTTTTCTTGAATTACTTGATGAATTTGAGAAATTGAATGCTGCTCATAAAAATTTGAAAAAGTAATTTAAAGATTTGAAAATTAAGTATAGAAGGCATTAGATGAAGAAGTTATTTTAAGGAATAAAATCTGCAATTTAGAAATGCCTATATCTATTAAAAAGATTTATAAAAATAAAAATGTTCTTAAAAGTAAGAACCAAATTAAAAGAACCCATAGGGTATGGGTTGAAAAAGGAACTTTCTGTTATAGAAATTCAAATGTTGTCACATGTTTTTACTTGATGAATTTGAGAAATTGAATGCTGTTCATAAAAATTTGAAAAAGTAATTTAAAGATTTGAAAATTAAGTATAGAAGGCATTAGATGAAGAAGTTATTTTAAGGAATAAAATCTGCAATTTAGAAATGAAAGAAATTACAAATGTTGAACATCGTGTTAAATGCCTTTCATGTAAGAGTCATATGCTTGATATTGATATTCTTGAAAATATGCTTGAAGTGGCAACAAGAAATAATAATGTTGAAATGCCTATATCTATTAAAAAGATTTATAAAAATAAAAATGTTCTTAAAAGTAAGAACCAAATTAAAAGAACCCATAGGGTATGGGTTGAAAAAGGAACTTTCTGTTATAGAAATTCAAATGTTGTCACATGTTTTTACTGTATGAAAAAGGGGAACACTTCTAACAAATGTAGAATAAAACATTTTGATGTTCCTAATGAAAAATATGCTTGGATTCCTATTATAAAGTAATTTGTCTCTAACTTCAAAGGACCCAAATGAGATTATGGGGACCAAAACTCTATTGTTTTGTTTTGTGATAATGGTTGAAATACCGTTATTTTTATACTTAATTTTGATATTAAACACTCTTTATGATTTAGAAACTAGCTTGAACTCATGTTTTTGCTTTAGTTTTGTGAATAAGAGAGTTGAGGTTATACTTCATGATTTTATCACTAAATTTCCCTAATTTTGTAGGTTATTGATATGATTTGGAAGAAGAGTAAAAGTACCAAGGAGTTTGAACCCAAAAAAGACAAAAACAGCACCGGACCAAACGGTAGGATGCAGGAGAATCCAAAATGAACGGTTAAGAATCTAGACCGAGCGGTCTGATAGAGGAGAAGATAGGCCGAACGGTGAATAATATAGACCGAACGGTGTGAATGTGGTGGAACCTAGGCCGAACGGTGTAAGCAAGAGAGACAATTGTCGAATGGTGCAAGGCTGGCCGAACAGGAACGATGCAAGGCTGGCCAAACGGTTGGAGAAAAAGTGTAACAAACCGATCGGTTTGTGAAAGGAGAAGCTGAGTGAAGTGGTAGAAGATATGTCGAACGGTCAATGGTGTAAGGCCGAACGGTATCAAAGTGAAACTGAACGGTCCATCACATTTACTAAATGTACTCTGCACCGCATCACGCCTGGGCGCCCCACTTAGGGTGCTGAGCGCCAGCGAAGTGGGCTTGGACCCTTTTATGTTATTTAGTGGGCTTGGACCTGTTTTCTGTTATTTTTTCTGTTATTTTTCTGGTCTATTTAAGGACTTGCACGTCCTAGGGATTGTATCTTTTGATGGCTTGAGCATAGAAACACATTTTTTAGCCCTTGGGGGTAGATTTGGGGATGTGACAACTCTCC